GCATCTCTACCTGCAGCGCATCCACATCACCAACCCCACCGAGCGGGTGGCCGCCTTCGAGGCCTCAGCCCCGGCTTCTGCGCCCTCGCTGGGCGTCCGCTTTGCCACCAGCCTGGAGAAGGTGGAGGAGCGGCAGTTCCTGCTCTCCTCTGGTCGCCTGCTGCTGGCCGGGAGCCCCAAGGTGGTGCTTATGGTGGTGGCCGCCAAGAAGCTTGTGAGCCGGGTGCAGGTTGCGCCCAAATCCCACTTCGACGAAACCGTGCTCTCCGTGGTGTACACCTCCGAGCCCATCGAGGTCTCCAGGCTGGAGGAGACCTTCAGCAAGCTGAGGGAGTCGGCCAAGAAAGAGATGCTGGAGGTGATGCAGATGGGAGTGGAAGATCTTTTCCAGGAGCACCAACAGACCTGGTCAGACCTGTTCACTTCAGGTAAGGAAAGCGATGCTCAACTTCCAAAGGGTTGCTTTAGAGGCAGCTTGAAAGCTCAGTGGCCTGGTTGCTGTAAGGTCTCCAGAGGCTCCACTCTTCCTGACCGGATTCTCTCGGGGGCCAGAAGGCATATTGCAGGATAATAAAACAGCGTTCCTGGTTTGGAACCCAGCGTACTTTACAAAAGTGGCATATTCCTTACTGCATAAAGGAAGTGATGGAACAACATTTCTAATCGTAACTCTGGGTGTGGTGGCTTTCGCGTCTTCAGGAACTTTACTGATTTGCCCAGCGTGTCAGCTCTTAAGTTGGAAATAGACTTGACCTCTACTGATGGTATAAAGGACGGATTTCTTCAGGGAAGTTAAGGACTGTCCTACAAGGATGCTTTTTCTTAAGATTTTAATGGCCTTGCATAGAAGAGTAGCTGCCCAAGTAATGGTAGAACTTGCTATGTTATAGCCAGTAAAGAGATGTTCCTCTGACAGACCATTCTTGCGGAGTCATGGTGACAGCTCCATAAGGCACCTGTGTATCAAACTAGCTTTGCCTTTACTGGGAGCATGGCATTCAAACTCCAAGTAGCAGAGAGAGTGTCTAAGAAAATACAAGGAAACATTTCACTTGTGTTTCATAGGCAGCGGTTTCTTAGACGTTGTAAAGAACACCCGTGTATTGAACGACGACATGCACATTTGATCTTATTTTCCTAGTTAATGTCATATTCATGTGTAATCCTCTGACTCTTGGTTGTTTTCTTTTACTACAGGGGTTGAAATGAGAAAGATCACAGATTCGCATACACCATCCAGTGAGACTGTTAACATGACCCTCTACTACGTGCTGTCAAGCATGCCAGCTCCTCTGCTAGATCCACTCATCAGTAGTGAGGACAGAGAAAAAATGGAAGCCAGCTTGAACTATGCTGACCACTGCTTCAGTGGCCACGCGACCATGCATGCAGAGAACCTGTGGCCAGCAAAGCTGACCAGTGTCACCCAGATCTTGCAGCTCTCAGACTTGTGGAAGCTAACTCTCCAGAAACGGGGATGCAAGGGTCTTGTGGCAGCTGGAGTCCATGGACTTATGCAGGGAATGGTGCTTAGTTTTGGGGGTCTGCAGTTCACAGAAAACCATCTTCAGTTTCAGGCTGACCCTGATGTACTTCATAACAGCTATTCCTTACGTGGGATCCATTACAATAAGGACTTGATTAATCTAGCTGTTCTGCTGGACGCTGAAGGAAAGCCCTTCTTGCATGTGTCTGTGAAATTCCAAGACAAGCCAGTTAGACTATATGCGTGTGAGGCAGGCTGTATGAATGAGCCTGTGGAGCTGACCTCAGAGGCACGAGGTCATACGTTCCCCGTCATGGTGACTCAACCCATCACGCCACTGCTTTATATATCGACAGATTTGATCCACTTGCAGGACCTGAGACACACGCTCCATCTGAAAGCTATTCTGGCTCATGAGGAACACATGGCCAAGCAATACCCAGGCTTACCCTTCCTGTTCTGGTTCAGCGTGGCCTCCTTAATCACACTGTTTCACTTGTTTCTGTTCAAACTCATCTACAACGAATATTGCGGGCCAGGAGCCAAGCCGCTCTTCAGGAGTAAGGTATAAGGCTGCTGCTTTTGGCTGCTGTCCACTGAGTGTTGTCAACCTGATTTTCTGTCAGCTGTGCCTAGGGAGGTTCTGTCTTGGACTGTGAGGATTTCCAGTCTCTCTTGCAACAAGTGATCTGTGACCTCTTCTTGCAAGAAGTAGGATTAGGGCAGGGATTGGAGCGGTAGGGCTCACAAACATTAGGAAAGATAAATGCATCGTCTGTCCTTCTTAAACATTGGTAAGGCTGCAGATCAAGGCAGACACAGCTTTTCTGTCCTTTTTCCATGCACTGGTGTAGGACATTGCTTGTTTTTAAGCCAACAGCTGCAGCTGTGTCACGAGATGATGTTTCTTGTTATGCAGCACCGGAATACTTGTGAGGGAGCTGCTATACTTTACTACTGTGTGGGAGACGCGCACACTTGTCTGCCTGGTTTGAATGTGTGATGTGTTACATAAAACCACACAGATGCAAGCTAGTGTTCTGAGGTCAAGGTACTGACTTGTTGGGACTACTGGTAAGTGTTCAGAGATTTACGGACACTGGGCAGTCCTCCATCAAACCACGTTTACCGCTGTCATTTAGGGAAAGTGCTGAGCTAGTGTTTCTCCCATTCAGACAAAATACGTAGCTGTGTTAAGGAAAGTACTGAGTGCTTTTTACTGTGAGTTGGAGATTCTGACTTCAAGCTCTACTGCATCTCACTTTGGTGTAAAGGATTTGAAATTCTTATTTTGAGTTGCCTTAGAAAACTTAGTTGCTAGTAAAAACTTAGCACAGAATAGACAAGAGATGGTGATTTCTTACTACCGGTACTTTCTGGTTGCGCGATATGGAGTGGAAATGAAAGATGAGACTGGATTTGCTGTGTGAGCTAGCCATATGGTTCAGAGGCATCCCTCCTTAGGGTTGAACAGAGTTAAATGTAGCTTGTGGCTTTAAAAAAAAAAAAAAGGAAATAAAAAAGGACATAGTTAAATAGAGCTGTTGGAGAAAAGTTCTATCTTTAGATTGCCCTTTCCAAATTATAAAAGCAAATTCAAATTTGGATAGCAAAGGCTGCACAGAAGGTACTGGACTAAACTTGACAGTCAGTACGTAAGGGGTGTTTAAAGTCAGTTGGCAATTTCCCTCTCGGCTCACTGGTGTTGTAACATTGAGCGCTGGAGATCAGGCCTGATTCCAAGCAGGCCGGAATACCTATCATCTGTTGCAAGAATGAAAGTGGAAGGTGCTTGTGGCTAGACAGACTAACCTAGAAAGAGGTAGAATTGATATGTATATAAAAGACAACTGCAGTTATAAGCCTATGATCATGATCAAAACCTTAGTGCAAAAGGTGGAAGCAGTCAGGAAGTCATTTTGATGATTGCATATACAGCTGCACCCTGACATGCATCCTGAAACGTGTCCTTGAAATTAAAAAATTATGTCCTTTTTTTCACTGCTGTCTATCTGGTTGCCTTTGTCATCTACCAGACTTGCCTTCTGCCTTTTACAGAATGACTTGTTAACCATTACTACAGGTAACTGTCCCTGACACTGTTCTCTGAAAAGCCGAGAAGCTTCACAGCTACACACCAGGGCTGACGTTAACACCTCTTCCTTCTTGACACTGCAAGAAGCCTTGCAGTGTACAGCAAACAAGTCTGTTGCCTCGTCTTAATTGGACCTACTTAAAATGAAGATGATGCAGAACTTGATTCCAGAAACAGGGATGAAGTGGAAGCCAGCCGAAGCTCAAAAATCTCTGCAGCAGTAAGCAAGATTAATGGTGTTGAAATAACACTGTGTTTCACTAATTGAATGGGAACATCTCAGTGTCCAAGTGAACTTAGTCCTGCTTTCAGCCTCCATTTGCACAAGACATCTGACAATTTTGCAGCTGAGAACAAGGACCTTTTGAAAGCAACAATCCTTTTGTGCCTTGTTAAGAGAGGAATCTGAGACTTTGAAGGTGCGGTTATTCAAGAGTTTATCCCAGAAGCTTCTGTGACAGATGTTTCTTTTTCCTTGTAAGCTGTTCAGTTCCCTAAGAGTAATCCATTTGGTGAAAATACTTGAAGACACACCGAGTCCTCTGATATTTTGATTTTTTTAATTTTACAGGAAAATAAAGAATGATGGTTCCCTTCAGAGAGTTAACTTAACTAGAAAACTTTAGTGTAACCTCCTTTCTGGTATAGATTTTTTTAATTTATTGCTTGGGGGGAGGGGGGGAAATGTTAATAATTCTGCCTCCACTTCAGTAACAAGTCAGTCAATTGAACTGTAGATATCTAAATGCTGGTAACAGGTTTTTCAGCCTTTATGATTGTAGAGTGCAAAACCAATTTAATGAAATGGTTTTCTGGATTTACACTTGGAAATGCTGATCTGCAGGTTTCCTATTCTAAGCATATTAAGACTTTGTGCATTGATTTGTTTTGGCTATTGGGGGGAAGACATCCTACTTTCTAGTGATTTAAAGGTTGTTTGGTTTTAAAATACCAAAGCTGTTGTTTCTAAATAAATACCTTTCAGTCTAATCTGATCACCAAAGTGTGGTTGTTTTGGTTTGGTGGTTTTTTTGGGGGGGCAGCGGTTCGGCGTTTTTCTTTTGGTCTGCGTTCTCTCCTCCCCTTGCTCCCCACCCAGTTAAAACAAGCAGAGCCTTATGTCACATCTGTGGCCACATTGACTACACAAGGGCTTGAATTAAAAGGAAATACAGTGTGGAAAATATTACATAAATGGGTCTAAGCTGGGAACAGACAATTTGGAAGGCACAATAAGAGACCGAAACACACAGGGTGGTGCTAATCTCCATTTCCCTAGCTCTGTGTAATCCTGTTATATCTTGATGCATGCAGGCCAAGCTTTAGTTTTAAGAACACACAGAAACAAACCCAGGGGACAATCAGCAGATTTAATGGCCACCCAGCAAGTAATGAATGTGGCACACTCCCAATGAAAAGTTAGGGCAGGATTTAACTTTGAATTTTTATATAAGTTACTGTCTAGTTTCAGATAGAAAACCTCCCTCAGAAAAGTAGATTTCAGTATCTGTTACTGATTTGCAGACCATTCCACTTACTAACTGGTTCAGCATGGTTACTACCCTACAAGGGAATAGTCTAAAGATAGTGAAGCAATGGAGTACATTATAAATTGTACACTAAGTACATTGTGTATTGAAAGAGATATTAGCTATTACGCTTTAACTGAACATACCGGAAGTTCCTGCTCTTTCTTACTGAAGTTTCATGAGCTGCTTGGTTTCTGTGAAACATCTGGCCTGAAGATGATAAGAGCTTCTAGGGAGCAGTTTCCAAGCCACCATGGTATCAGCTGGGTGCTGAGCCTTTTGATGTTCACTTGCAGAACTGCCAACAGTATGATGCCCACTGAGTCCAAGAAAGATACTCCAGCCTATTTAGAGTAGACCTGGAAAGGATGGATACACAATCGTTACATAAAGCAGGAGTGGGACAAAGGAAAGGAAAAAAAAAAAAAGATTACTCTTATGAGCCTTCCTCCCATATAATCAAAGAACTGTTTCAGAATTCCTTTACAAAGAAGAAAGGGAAAAAGAAAGAATAGGGTTTCTCTATTTCCAGCGTGCAAGATAGCAGAAGGTTATTTGTGAAATGATTGCAGAAATGCTTAAAAAACTAAACCAAACTCCATGTTTACAAGCACACCCATGAAATGAAAGTTGAAACAGTAACAACATTGAAAATTTATACCTAATTTTTCGTTGGTATTCAATGAAAATGATAGTGGCATGGAAGTTAAACTGAAAAGCATAGTATGTTGTTTAGCTTGTAAATTCAGACATTAAGAAGAGATCCAACTAATTAATGAAAAAAATTTTTACAATCTCAGTTCTGCACTCAGTTAATCCTGATTTATGCTTTTGTCAGGTAATAAATACAAGATGCCAGAACAGAGTTTGTTTGATTCCATTTGAAATTCAGAATGCAGCTTTCTCAAGTACTATTGTTTGGGTAGGATAATACATTCTTGAGAAAAAACAGCAAAGCAGTATACATTTCTGCCTTCCACATGTGTGCTCCAGGCATCTCTCATCCAAATCAGTATCTACTGCTGAAAGGAAGCTATGAAAATCAGGGATTTTGCTGCTTGTTAATTCTGACATTAAACAATAGAGTAATTTCAGCTTTTCTGAAACCTCTAGTTTGGTCTGTATGTACAATGCAACTCTGCTTACAAAACTGGCATTATGACATTTGTTTCCATTCTAATAATTTTGCTCCCTATGCATGACGTGGCTTATGGGAGAGAGATGTTTATTTTTTAAATAACCAGTAACAGTTTTTCAGGTGAAGGGTAGGTAGATGGAAACGTGAGAGAGAATGGAAAATTTCTGTAGTAGAAGGAAAAAAGGAAGAGAGACACAAGGGTAAGTGTTGATATCAAGCCATTGATCTCAAATGTCCAGTAATGAATTAGGACACTCTTTTGTGGCAGCAGCTCTGTAATGGTCTAAATGCCTGCTCTTGCCTGGTTTGTCCTGTTGGTGACAATGGTTTACCCTTTTTCATTAACAAGCTCACGCTGCATTATACCACAGGACAGCGTGCTGATTTGGGGTGTAAAAATGCTCATTTGCAATGATACAGGAACCCTATTCTCTTCCAAGGATGTGCTACTGATCTATCAATTAAAGGCAAATAGCAAAGAAATTAAGTCTGGCTCACCATGCTACACCAGTGTTTCTCCATCATCACCGACAGCTGGTTCTTTGTATTGCTTGAAACATCTTCCACTTCAACACGATTACAGTTTGTTTTATTGAAGAAGTATGGCATGATAAAACACATGCAACTTGATCTAGAAAAGAAGATACTGGTTTTCAGTCAGTACAAAGTGGTAGTTGCCATCAGTCACAAAACAAAACAGAACAGATGAAATTCCAAGCAATCAGAATAATACAATAATTAAGGTGGAAGACAGCCTCCAGAGATCATCTAATCCAACCCTGCTGACATGTCTGAATATATTGGACACTGTTACTGCTGACATAGCATCAAGCGTTGGAATAATTCATTTAACATTTTCCTTCTGGAAACACCTTTGTGATGAACTTTCAAGGCAATGGGAAAGCAAACAGCTGCTACAGATAATGCATAACTCGGTCGGAATTTTTTTAACCAAATTGTTTATATAGCCTGGATCCAAGGTCCATCTAAACTTTTTTTTTTCCAGGCATCTGTGCATATGAAAAATTATCCCACAATTACACAAATTTTCCATTGGTATCAGAATAGCACTGCATTTTGACTCGTGTCTCAGATAAACGATAACATATAAAATCGCTTGCAAAGCAGAGCCTGCAGCATACAGCTAACCGGCATCATGCTTGGAGTCCTCTTTGCTGTGTTGACTCTGGCAGCTGCAGGTACGTACCCAATTTCAGCATTAGTTTCAAAGGAAAAATGAATTAAAATCTAACAGCAACTTTCCTCTTCTAGGGAAATGAGACATTCTGCAACAAAGCAGAAAGAGATACAGCATAGGCAGTTAATGAAAAAGTTCTCTCAAAACAGTAACTAGGTGCTGTGCTATTCTGTTATTACAGGGGCTTGATTAGCATTACTGCTCTCAGCCTTTAGCAAATTCAAAGTTATTTTACTTAGCTTGAATACACTGAAATATGGTTAATCCACATCAAATTGTTGCATTGGCTAAGAGCTGCATCTCAGCTGACACATGAGAATTTGTTTAAGCCAACTTGATTTGATTCTCTGTCAGAAAAATGAAATCGTTCAAACAGGCTTTATGTAACATTGGTCAGTTTTGACTGATGGCTGTTATCTTCACTTGTATCGCATTAAATCGCAGCCTATATTTGTACCTTGCAATGTTCTGTACAAACACAGTCTATATTTAAAAAAAACCTCTCTCTTACAGACTTTTTTTTTTTTTTTAAACATCCTACTTTTAAAACACACGTCCTATTTTGTATGTCTTCTAGCCTTTGGCTGTGGGGTTCCTGCCTACCCACCTGCTGTGTCTAGAGTTGTTGGAGGGGAAAATGCAAGACCTTACAGCTGGCCCTGGCAGGTTAGTCATTTTGTGCTTTCCCTGGAACAATTAGCTACCCTCACACAACGTGGCTGAATAACACTAGGTCTTACATTTCATGTGATGCATCTTGCCTGTCACATCTTAGGTTTTGAATATTACGTTCTGATCAATCCCAAAGTTTCCAATCTTTTTAAGAAAGCTCTGAATGTGCCACCTCTTGCTGGCTATGCAGGCTTTTGTGTTCTTTCAGTAGTCTTGGGCATCATCCCATATTTAAGCAAGATGGCTGTGAAATTCAGTGGAGCATACAATGCCTACTGGAGCACAGTTATACATGGAGTTAAAAATACATTTCTGAAGCAAATGAAATGCTCTATTTGGGCCAGGCTTAGTGAGAGCTTTCGAAGAAACAACATCCAAAAAAAAAAAAAAAAAAAATCAAGCTTTTGGATGATAGGGAAGGAGAGAAACCTTTTCTGGGGCCAGGAGTTGGAAACTTGCTGCTTAAAAGCCTCCCACCATCTTCCAGCAGCAAATTGTGTTCTGGGTGCAGGAAGAAAGTGCAACAATGAAAAATCAGTAAGCAAAAATCTGAACCTTACTTGATACATTGATTCTAGGCCTCCCTTCAATACAATTCAAAAGGCAAATGGTATCACACCTGTGGAGGAACCCTCATTGCAACCAACTGGGTGATGACAGCTGCACACTGCATCAGGTAAGGAATGGAGTTAAAGTCTGTACCCAGGAAGCCATGCATGACCAGAGAGAGATGAAGCAAAACCGTATTAATGCCAGTTCTCCCTTTCCCAATTAAGAGCTCAGAGTTTCATATCATATCTTTTGATTATAACTAAGACGTCAGCAGAAGAATGACACCTTTTCATTTTCTTAAAATAAAAGTAGAGGGGAAAAAACCCTCATGTAGTTACCTGAATTATATACTCTTAATTTTCTGTAAAAAACTACAAACATCATTATGTTTTCAAGTTGCTATTAAAATTCGCTGTGTTGCCTGTTTCTATAATATATGTGGTAGTGAGATCCACAGACTAACTAATCAATCCACTCCCTGAAGAAATAATCACAAATGCTTTGAATATACCAGTCATTTTCAGCACGCTCTTCATATTATGGGGCAGTATAACAAAGAAATGATCAGATATGGCTATGCCCTTTCATCACCAGAACTGTTTCCACAGTCAACCTTATTTTGGTTTGGTAGCATATGTCCTTGAATATGTACATACAGTTCTTGGTTATTGTAACATTAAGTTGTAGAAAATGTCATAATATGAAATAAGCAGGATTGGCTGCATGTTATTATAGAAACCCTACATGTTGTATCTCTCACACAGCTATTTATCAGTGAAGCTGTTTATCGCTGTCAAAAAAGCAGCCCAAATTGTTTACTTCATTGAAGAATACGAGCTGAATCCTGCAAAGATTGGAGGCATCTTGAGTTTGTTAATGAAGCCTTAAGCAGGAGTTGACAGGACAGCTTAGAGATGAAATGATTATTAAGCCTAGCACACAATGCTTTGTCCTTAGCAAATCAGCCAGACGTTGGTTCAGCTCCAGACAAATAATGCATGTGATGTGAGATTACAGCCCTAAGGATATTCTTACTGAATATCTCAGGTGGCAAAGATGCAGTGCCTAAGCAGCCAGCCAGCAGCTGCATAACTGAGCGTTAGTCCTTTTCTTGCCCAGTCCTTCTAGGAAATATCGAGTATTTCTTGGAAAATACAACCTAGCAACTGTGGAAGAAGGATCAATTGCACTTCCCCCAGAAAAAATCATTGTCAATGAGAACTGGGATCCACAGAATGTTGCAGATGGGTAAGTTGGTAGCAAGTACTTTTTCAGTTATTAGATGCCGGGCAAAAATCAAACTGCCTGAATCCCACCCACCGTGCATTGTGGCAGCTAAATGCATAAATGTTTAGAACCGCGTATTACAACTTACAGTGGTACTTCTAAATGTTTGCTCATAGATGAGAGTTGAGTCTCCAGTTTGTGCCTTTCCCCCTCAACAGAAGATAAAGAGCTTTCAATATTAATTGCTCATTGATTAATTGTGTTGTCAGATGCCATGTTGCATGTTCATACTTGGGTGGGAAGCTGTTCTATGCAATGATTTCTTTCATACAGTGGAAGGGAATGAATTAATTTATAGAACACTCTTTGGAACCCTCCTACAAACAGCATAAACACGGAGTATTGTTGATCAATGGTATTAATATCTTTGTTGCTGAAGGACTCATGTCCTGCTGCAGGCTAAGGGCATTAGCAAAGAAATCCCCTCAGTTTCTAGGTCCTTGGAGTTAGCCCTAACACGTGCTTGGTTTTGGTGAAAAGAACGTATAAAAGGCAATTCCCAGAAAGCTGCCAGCAGAAAAGTGGACAGTTCTGCAGGGAATAGTCTTCCAGTCCATGGATTTCCCCATTGCTTTGAGGGTGGAGGAATCTTTACTGCTTATGTACCGGCCTCCTTGCTCTCTTGCATCTCTTTTGAATAGGCCAAGTGCTGTATAACTGTTAAGTATTCATGCTACCGTGTCTCAATCTATTTGCAAACCTCTTCACCCCTTCCCCACTCTCAAACGTGTGCATATGACCACAGGTATGACATTGCTTTGATCAAACTCACTGAACACGTCACCTTAAGTGACCACATTCAGCTGGCCTGCCTCCCCCCTGCACAAAGCGTCCTATCATCCAACACTGCCTGCTACGTGACAGGATGGGGAAGACTGCAGAGTAAGTACTTGGACATTTGCAAAACTGTGGAACAAAATCTTTCAGTACTGTCTTCTCCTTTGAGACTGACTGAAAAAAGGCTGTTGGTGGTGCTCAAGATCCCCTCAACCTCAATGTAGCGAGGTAGTTTATCAGGCCCCACTTCACTCATGCAGTATGATTTTTCCCTGCCTTTGAAGTTTATTTTGCTTGTAATGGGGCTAGTAATGCACTAGAGGGCCCTGTACTAAGCTGTTAGAAGCTCCGGTAACACAAATGTTAACAGTGTGCAGACTGGTGAATTTGCTAATCCTAACATACCCCGCTGAATAACTAAAAAGACACATAATGTAATAGATGTAAAGTGAAGAAAATCTCAGATATTTCAGCAGAAGCTTCAGCTCAAGAGGCAATTCCTAGAGTGATAAGTACATTGCAAACTCCTGAACAAAGAGCAGCCCTTTATTTCTCTAACAATGAGATATTTTTAAATGGAACGCAAATTATTAGTAAGTTAAGGCCTTTTTTTTTATATATATAAAATATATAA